GGCCACCCCGGCCTCGGCCCTCCTGACACCCTCCTCCTCCAACTCCCTCTCGGACCCCGAGTGCTACAGCAGCTCCAGCAGCCTGAGCGGATCCGACTCTCCCGTCTTCGATCTGCATCCCCCCGGCGGGCCGGCGGGGAACCCCCACAGGCTGCCCATCTTCAACCGGCTTTCTGTCTCGGAATGAGGGAGGTGGGCCGGCCCGATGGGACACTTCAAGCTTGCTGTTGATTGCAAGGGAGGGTTGTGCGTCTGTATGATACTCCTTTTGTGGGGAGGACCCAAAACCCACCGGACTGACGCTTTTCAGAGCAGTTGCTTCTCCTGATCTTCAAGTCACCCTGGGAGAGCTTTTCCCTCCTCCCGCCAGCCGGCCTCCCTGCCTTCAAGGGGCCTGGGAAATGCCTTTCCAGAAAGCAAATGGGGCTCGGCTTACTGTGGTTTACCTTTCACAGACTAGTGCCTTAAGCAGGGGTTTGCAATGGGTCAGCATGTAGCCAAACCGAGCAGTTTTGCTGAGTGGGGGGCCAAGTCCCTGCTCCCCCTCTCCCTCCCCAGGGGTGACTCTCCATCCTTATCATGGCAGGGGCACGGGGATAGGTGGGTCTTCAACTATCATGGAAATCCCTCTGTTCCTCTCAGGGAGCCAGGAGGCCAAGGTGGGGCGGGGGCGGGGGGGGTCAGTGTCCTTTTCTCTCTGGCTTTGCACAATACACCTGCCTGAGCTGAGATTGGCAGTGGGTGGCTCAGCCTCGCCCCCTCCCTCGGTTTCCCTCAGGACGGTTCCCTTTGCCCCTCCCCTTGAGAAATTCAGCTGTAGGGAGGTTATGCCCCCCCCTCCCCCTCCCTTTTTTCAGTCTAGAATCATCCCCACCTGGAGAAGTCTTGAGCTGTGCAAGGGGAAAGGATCTTTCCCCCTCAACACCTGAGCATTATGCCAAGGGTTGACTGTCCCAGGAAGAAAAAGGGACCGTTTACTTGTATGTAGCACATTTTTTTTTCTTTTTTCCTCCTGTGGTAAGGAGGAAAAGATCACATACCATGGAAACCAGGTCGAACCAGGGAAATGAGCCAAGAGTTACATTACATCTTGGTGGTGGTTAATGTACCTTGGTGGTTTTTTTTTTTTTTAATGCTTTTAAAATACCATGTTTTATACTGTGAATATCCTCTGTTTAGTCCTCCAGCAACAATAGGTTGAGAATTAAGGGGAGGTGCTGAGTTTTCCCCCCCATTTCATGGCCTCCTGAGGTTTTGAAACATTGGCAGGACAATCACTTTTTTCCCCCGGGGAGTGCTCTGACACCGAGAAGTGTGAATCCCTGTTGGTGCAAGGGGGGGCTGTTTCCTCTCCACCTCCTCCCGTATTCCTATGCCAGCTGCGCAGGTGTGAAGCTCTCCCGTGCTGGAGAATTTGGACCCAGTTGACCTGTGCCTCCAACCCACGTTCTTGCTCCAGTGGGGGGCAAGATTCCTGGTAAGCTCAATCTTGGATTGCCCACACGAGAAAACCGTTTAAGATCACGGCTACCCCGTTCCATGGGAACTTGGGATCTGCACCTAGCTAGGTGTCCGGTCATGAAGTCTCATATTCCAAATTTAGAAATTCCAGAATTTGAACTCTCTTCCTAGGTCATCCAAGGAAATATTTAGCCCACTCTCCAGTTCCATACAACTAAGACTCTGGAAATCCTGCTCCTTCGTCCCCCTGTTCCTCGTAAGGGGGGGGTTGGAACTGGCCCCAAGATCGCCAAATGTTCTCTCTCTGCCGGTGTCAGAAATGAAAATGGCAGGGCTGTTTCTCCCTGGGGAAGAAGCCCAGGAGCCAAAGTGCCGAAATGGCGCCCGCTGCTTTCGCTTTGGTCAGATTGGACATTTTGCACTGATGGGGAGCATTGGGGAGGGAGAGGATGCCTTTCGTTTCTAAACCAACGTTGATGCTAGTCACACCTGCGTGGCATTTCCGTGGTGGGTGTTGTTTTTTAAATCCTCAATGTTTACCTTGTAATAAGGCAATAACCAAAACCAAACTATTTATAGAGTCTATTTATTCAAAAAAAATTTTATATTGTATTTATCTTTTTTGTAATATTCCAGAATAATATATATAATATCTATATATTTTTGTGTGTGAACTATGAAGCAAATGAGATTGTGCTAAGATTTAAAATGGTTCAAAACATTAGCTTTTTTTCTTTGCTAGAAAAAGAGACTTTGCTATTTCTTTTCTGAATCTCCAAAAGATAATGGTGCAACCAATACTCAGTTAATAATAAATATGAGGATCGGAAGGTCCCGTTTACCCTTGTATTGGCGCCCGTTTATAATGAGGTCTTTAGAGATAATTTCCTTCCTGGGAAAGAAACTTCTGACAAGTACACTTCGCATCCAGGTGGGATTTCACTCCTGGGCACATCAGATGCCGCAAGGAAAAAATGGGGCAAGGGAATAAAGCAAGGGCCAAACCCTAAAGTAGATGGAGAAAATAACTCCATGGGGAGGGGAGGGGAGGGTTGGGGGACCCCAGTCGTAGTTGAACCAGGAATTACAAGGAGCACCAGATCACTCTAACTCAGTTCGGTTGCCCAGGCTCTTGGCAGCTCACATAGAAAAGAGACATGTCAGAACATCTACAGTAAAAATAAAACAGCTGCTGAGTTGCAACCTGTGGTAAATAACCGGCTGGGCGTTGGCATTGATGCCTCTGTCAGGCTGAAGGCGAGCAGGGCGTGGCGAGAGCACATTCCGGCAGCCGGTCAGCTGACAAGGGCGCCTTGAGAGGAACACCCACATTATGGTGCCCAGACTGGAAGAACTTGCTGGGGGGGGGACTTTCGTGGGCTCTGCGGCTCCCACCGCACGCTGCTGAGTGGACCTCCAAAGTGGCACCTCCCGGGCCGAGCGCCTTGCAGCTTGCCAAGCGAAGGTAAAGCTGGGGCACACCCTGGAAACTCAAGAGTCGGATTCCAGTATGTGCCAATAACTTATCAAAGTTCACCTTCCCCCAAAGGTAAGCCAGATTGCTCCAGTCTGGCATCTCCACCAGGCACCTAGTCACAGCTCCCCAAATCTGGAGGGCGCCAGGTAGGGGAAAGCTGGAATAAACCATGACAGTTACACCAGATTCAAAGTATATCATACATTGCACTAGGCTGAGATTTGCAGCAAACCATGTTAGCTTGGTTCACAGCAAGCCAATTACATTGGGGTTCAATGGGATGCTAGCTGGAGGCACAGCTGGAGTTTCAAGATGGGATTTCACAATTAATACAAATCAGGCAGCGATTGCAATGTCACATTGATCAATGCATCCTCCTCCACCCTACCCTTAACTAATTTCCCAGAAAGACATAGTGGAGGAGGGCTGATGGGAAATGAGAATGGAAGCTCACCCTACTTGGGGTTTTCCTCAATTTCAAAGAGCTGAAGAAGATCAAGGCAGCATCAATGATGGAAGTCTTCTGGCTGGACCAGGAAGGGAAGGCAAGAGATGGCACTGGGTGGGTTGGGTGCTTCACCTGGAGCCTGTAGGCATCCCAGGTCCCACCCAGCTCAGGTGGGACTCCAAAATCCAGCCCTGCAGCTCTGTTTCTTTGGTGAGATCGGAAGCAGCCTTGCACTGGGGGAGTCCTGGCCCACTTAGTCCAGAATCTTCCTTCCTTACTGGCACCGGCTCCCCAACTTCCAGGTATGGTTTTCTCAGAGGCTAACAGAGGAGAGATCCAGCTGGCATCTTGTCCAAACCTTCTGTCCCAAAATGTCCATTTGCCCGGTGTATCCAAATCTTTGAAAGCCCTTTTTTTTTT